GCAGCTGCTTGTTTCCATGCGCTCTCAGCAAAGAGCAGCCGCAGTGCCCACCTCCAGCACGGACATCTCACATCTCACCCATCAATTCCAGCCAAACTCCTGGTCTCAAATGCCCATTCCTGATGGCAGCTTCACTTCCTTCAGAAAAGATGAAGGCTTTGTGCGTGTTGCCTTCCAGTTCTAGCTCACTGATTAATTGATTAAACATTTTTGGGCTCAGAAATCTTGTCACTGATAATGGAGGTTACACATGATTTCATGTGTAGGTTTACTGATATTAAATACAGTTGATTTCTACAGAGGTGTATCTACAGATGTTTAGGATTTTTCTAAATTTTATTTTAAAAATTTTTAAAACTCAGAAATCAATCTATCTTTCAGTCTATCTACACTGAAATCAACACAAGTTTTCCAGTAACTGAATCAAGAACAACTCTGAATTCTAATCCCTCAATTCCTGACATACTTAATGGTTTAACTGCTTTGATTTCTTACAGCTGGGAACTGTTTTGCTTACTTACCAATTCCTGTTTCAGTATACTCACAGATAGAAAACTATAGCAATTTGCTGTTTTCACAAGTCTAGACAAATCCCTGGTGAGCTGGGAATGAAACAACTTCTTTCTACCTACATTTTCAGGGCATATTGTCTTCTCTTGAAAGTGGGACGTTTGCACCAATTACTTTTGTTTTAAAAGCATCTCTTTATGCCTCCCTAGAGAAGAATAAAAATTAATTTTTCTCCATGGATTTGAATATTTACAAGAACATTAAAGAAATTAACATTGCCTTTTTTGAGGAGTCTGGAAGTTCTACAATTTACAATAACTCTGGATTGCCCAGTTTGTCTGGGTATAAATTACATTTCACAATGGCACCATCTGCTGGGAGATGAGCAAGGCAGTGAAGCACACTGGGTTCCCTCACTGCCCCCTTTCACAATTGAACACAGGATGACTGATAGCCAACACCTCCTCCAAATGGCAACATAAATTACACCTGGAAAGTAAAGGAACCAGAAGGCTGATAATGACAGAATATCACTGAGACTTTCACCCTGGAAGTTCTACTTTTAATACAACAGGAGCTAATTATTAATATTTGGTTTTATGCTTCCTTACTGATACAATGCGACACTGAAAAGAGCACTAGAAATCTGTCTTGACTTGTATTTCACACAGCACACACTTCCATATACCTCAGAAATTCCTTCAGACAAATGAGAGAAATCCCTTCTTCCGGAAATGTGAAATCTATTGATGATTACAATATGATTATGGTCTGTAGTAGCACCTCAAATTTTCTCTGTGCCAGCAGTGTGTGACTGATTCAGCTCCTCCAGGACATTTTTAGATGCTGTCCACTACTGGATGAACAAGTTCCTCAGTTCAGAAACACACATCACACCCTGTCACTGTCACACAGTGCCCTTTACTGGCAATGGACCAGGATTTGCACTTGTTTTGCTTAACATACAGCATTTCCAGATGCAGCCGGAAAATAGCCTCAAGCTCTACAGCAATAACCATCAGAGTATGAGCAGTGATAGAGGAGAGGTCAGTAACTTCTGGCTGCAGAGGGAATTAATCCTGGAAATATTTCTCTTTCTCTTACCATTATTTTAATATTGCTTGATGATTCCCCAAGCATTATTCCCCATCAGTTTAATGACTAAAATTCAGTTGTAGTGATTCAACAAGCTGATCCAAGTTGACAGAAAATCTTTCAGCAGTCTGTGCAAACCAAGAGGCAGAATTGATTTGCTCCTAATCTGCTGCAGGTGCCCACACACAGCCAGCCATTGCTGCTCCTCATATAACTGATGGATGACTGCACAGAAGGGCAGATACTCCTCAGCTACACCTCAGAGTACACCAAGAGAGGTTTGAAAACGGCTGAAAAATAGATATTGTCAGTCCTGGAATATGTATTCTTTTTTAAACAGTTTTTCATTAAATATGTTAAGTATTGTAGGGGAGGGAAAAAAAAGTTTAACTTTTATCAGAGGTTAGGAACCAGAAAATAGTTAAAATTACATCTGTGAATAAGCTGAGTGATTAAGCTAACAGAGCACTCTATCCTACATTGTTAAAGCAACTCCTGAAAACATTTGTCTGGAACACTTTTCATGCAGTGATGTTTGAATTTATCCCAAGAGAAATGCATTAGTAACCCAAATTTTTGGTGTTTCATCAATTTTTTTTTTTTCTTTCTTTTTCCATTGTTGGGAGATGATTCAGAGGACAGACATACCATTTTAAAATATTTCATCTTTGGGGGATTTGGGAGCTGCTAGGTTTATCAAATCGGGCACCCAAAAGTTCCTTTCACCTGCTGACATGCTCTTTGCAATCTGCTATCAATTGAAAAGCATTCACTATGTCAAAGTTCTCATTCATAAACAGAAGAAATTTAAAGTTACCATAAATATGCATAGAAAAGAGATCCTTTCCTCTTGTTCTCATACTTGTTCTCCAGAAAAACAATTCTCTCACAATCAAACACCACGTACTTGAAATAAACAGCAGATTTTCCCCCACAGCCTTCTTGAGTAGGAGTGTGAAAATCCAGTATTCAGTGACCTGCCTGTACCAGTAAAACCTTTTTGCAGGCAAAACAGAAGCCTTGATTTAATTCATCACCAGACATAACTGTCAGCCCATAATCACATAACTGTGATTTCTAGCAAACCTTTTGCAGACATCCACTGCAGCAGATGCTCTTCCAGAATGCAGGACCTCTCAGGATGAGAAACTGGGACTGGGAATAACTATATATAATCCTTCTTATAATTCTGCTGAAACACACAAATTTCCTTGGAAGCCTGACGGAACACAGTGTGATGCCATCACAGCCTTACTACAGAACACTATCACACTATTTTCATCCTCAAGTTCAAGAACTAACCTTGTGAATGAGAGGTCAGTTTGGCTTATTCCCTTCCACCTGCTCACTTGAGGCAGAATATTGTCACAGCACCAAGTGATATATATTTCCCTTTCTGAGGTTTTAACTTACTTGTTTTGGCTGGATGACTTCTGTTCTGCAATGTTCTGCTCATTATTCTTTGTCAAATTTATTCAGTTCTCCTTATATGTACAACCACATTAATTCCAGGCAGGAAATTTGCAAATCTAATAAAAAGGGAACTCCAAGCTGACACAGTATCTTACTGCTGCTACAAAATTCTCTGCACACATGCTGAAAAAAACAACATCCTTTTTGTCCAAAGGCAATAGCCAGCTCTGCCTGAAAAACAACACACATGAGAGCAAACTTCTCTCTTCCCAACAGAAACCAGGGGTTTGGACCAGCACTTGTCTTCTCTGAACACTCAGGCTGTGCATACTGAGGGAGCCTGCACGCCATTAAAGCTGCTGTACATGAGAGATTCTGGTGATAACTAAACTTTTATTTTTTTAGAAAGTATGGCCAAAATCACAGCTCTTTTGCTGTGTAACTACTCCCCTTTACCCACACACAAAACTAAGCACCTTCTTATAAAAAGCATTGGGTTGCGGGTGAGCACCAGCAGCCAGGGCTCCTGAGGGCTGTTTGTGAAGGTTTCTCACAAAAGCAGCCTCTCACAGCAGCAAAATGCACAAACAGCCCCATCCTCCCCCTGCCTGCTGCACTTTCACACGTGCTTCCTGACAGCTGGGGAAAGATGTTCCGCTCTTGCAGTTTGCTGACAGCGTTTCCACATCAGAAACATTTCTGAGCAGAGGGTGGAGACTTAAATTTAAAAAGAAAACAAACCCAAACAAGTAAACCTCCACCAAAATTAAAAAAACAAGGAGGAAGGAAGTGTACACAATGTTCTGTAAGGAAATTTTGCAATGCTGCAACAGCCAAGGATTTGGGAGGGATTCTATATGACCCAGGGAAGGACTGCAGGGCTTTGTTTTGTTGCCTTCAGAAAGTGGTAAGAAAGAAATAAGACAAGGATCACTATTAAGTCATTTTCTGTGTAAGCAATTGTACAACAGGGCCTGGAGTTCTGCAGAAGGCATTGCCCATGTACAGCTGACATTTACTTCGCCCAGAGTAAAGAACATCAACTTGCCAAGACTGTCACTATGTAGCTTTGTATTACTGATTACTTCATCAAATTAGTCATCAGGTTTGTTTATGCAGTAGTGTTGAACTCAAATTCTTTATGAGATTTGTACCTTCTAGTACAAGATCTCACTTCCTTACAGCTTACTATTTGAAGCTCAACTGAAATATTTTCTTAACAAGCTGGACTTATTAACACCTTAAAACTTCTATAGATTTGACTTTGTTAGACTGTTTTTTTAAAATTATATTGCTGCTAAAAACCCACCCAGTGCCATGTACTTCCTTAGTCTCAGCTATCACTCACATCATCTCTAGCAAATGTGTGTCTCTTTGATATGGATCAGTGATCTCATTAATTCCCTTACCAGAAGAGTGCTAGAACAACTAGTCAAAAGGAGAAAGGTGGGGGTTCATCCCTCCTCCCTAGAGAACAAGAGGAATCAGCCTTGAGTTGCACTGGAGGAGGTTTAAATTGGGTATCAGGGAAAACTTCACCATGGAAAAGGTTGTCAGACATTGGCACAGATTGCCCTGGGAAGTGGTGGAGTCACCTGGAGGGACTTAAAGACACGTAGACACGGCACTTTGGGACAGGGTTTAGTGGTTGACCTGGCAGTGCTGGGGGAATGGTTGAACTTGATGCTTTTAGAAGCCTTTCCCACCCCCAGTCACTCCCTGGTTTTGTACTGCAGGGTAGGATGGCTTTGCCATACAACTCATGGGGGAAACTGCTGCTCACATCAGCCACATCTCAGGAGAGCTGGACACAACATCTACCTGTGTCCCAAACTGCTGCTCCCCACCCCACTGCTTTCTCTGCCCACTCCTATGCCTGCCATAGACTAAATGTATGCAGGATATGACAAAATTCTCCACAGAAATATGAGTAAAGACCAGCACTGATCAGCACAGTTTCCATATTTAGAACTTCCTTAAGTCCTATAGCCACTCCTCCATCTCCTTCAGAACAAAGATCTCTGTCATGTAATTCCACAGCTCTCTTGCTCAGTATTCAGAAAATGCTTTTTCTTGCAATTCTGCTGTTTTCCTACTGTAAGCCAAGGATATGTTTCTTTCATATTACAAATCTTTCTAAACCAGAACCATTGTTCCTTGTCTGAAAGCTTTTCTTTTTCTTCTCTTAGGTCAAATGTCTCAGCATATACAGAAAACTACTGCAAATGGAAAAGGTAGGTTCTCTTTGGTTGGTTTTGAGGTATGTGCCGAGACTGACTGTTATCCAAAAAAATGGGGGAGGGATTTAAAAACATCAAAAAATTTAATGCCAAATTAAATATTTAGCCTCTCTGTGAATTGAGTCAGTTTAAAAGTTTCTAAACAAAGATAACTGTCTCTTTGCTGACCTGTATGTAAAGTCAAAATTACTTTAACTTGCTAAAACACTTTTTACCCCCATGGAAATGTCATCATTTATTTTAATCATGACTAGTTCAGTACCATTTTCTACGGAAAGACAGGTTTTTATTGCAAATTCATTTGTTTAAGTTCATGAAAGCAAACAAATTTGAGAGACCATCAAGGCTCTTAATGCTACTATCCAAATCCAGTCTACTTACAGAAGGTTAGTTCTGTCTGTTAATAGACAGCCACAAATAAAATACTGCTTTTGCTTTCAGGTTCGCATGCTACCTCTCAACTAATATATAAAGTTACTTTATAGGCTCCTACAATTAATACTCCACAATATTTCATTTAATCTTTTACACTACTATTATTTTAATTGCTGTAGTTCAAAAGTTGTTGGTTCATCTAAACTCATCTGTGGGCTTTGTGTGGCTGTGCCTCTTTTGCACGGACACATGCACTTTTTATCATGTGTGAAGCTGCATGATTTCTGGTTTTGAAAAGTAATTGATTTGCCTGCTATTAGAGGTTGGAAAAAGTATAATGGCATTTCAACACAAATAAGCATAGCTTGGTTGTCAACATATTTTGGGAAAAATCTGGGGCTTTCTTTGGTCATAGGTACAATCAGCTCACTCAGTTCTTTTTTCTTTCCAGAGATGCTGTCCAATCCCAAGCTTGTACTGGTTCAGGGGACGTTGAATGTGGTGATGAAGCAGAATGTGACCCTCTCCTGCCTCTCTGAGCCTGGATCTCCACCTGTCAGATACACCCTGTTCAAGCACAACCAGCAGGTATCTGCTTTAAACAGGTCAGACTTGACCCCTGCACTGTTCACCCTGACCATCAGCTCTGCCAGCGACATGGGGGAATACAAGTGCAAAGCTGAGTATAACAACTCCAGTGGTGGAAAATACAGCAACAGCCTCAACATCACCCTCATAGGTATGTCTTGCTGTACACCTTCCCAGCACAGGTTATTGCAGGGACGCACAACCACCTCTTTTCTTGACTGAGGAGCTGAACTTCACTGCTGCTCTTACCCCAGGAGCTGCCAGCGCTCTCCTGCCAGTGCTCACGGCCCCTCCATCCTCCATGCCCAGCTCTTTTACCAGTGTTGTCACTTCAAGTCATACCTGAAGCTTGTCCTTTACTCTGTGATTCAGACTTTTCAGTTTTCTTTCTACAGAGCCAATTTCCAAACCAGTGCTGAGCTCACCCACCTCTCAAGCAAAGAAAGGCCAGAACGTGACCCTGTCCTGTTTCTCGGAGAACGGATCCCTTCCCATCACATATCTATTCTTCAAAGGAACACAAAACATTTCTCCCCAAAAGACGATGCAGAAGAGGGAAGCAGCTGTGATTTTTCTATTTATCGACTCCCTTAGTGACTTTGGAACCTATAAATGCAAAGCTAATAACAGTTTTCCCAATAATACAAAATACAGCAACGCTTTCAACTTTACATTAGCAGGTATGAATGAAAAGAGGTTACTACTTTTGACAAATGGGGATCACACAAAATTCAGAATGTTGTAACTATGCAAGTTTTTTGCCAGATATTTTGTTCCTGCAATGTGATGTTCCAAGCATATTTTTTTAAAAAATTAGAAAAAGAAAATGGAGGTTTTAAAATTAATGCAAAACCATAGAATTTCATGCATCCGAGATAGCAGCAGAAGTTGAAGTGACCATGAAGGATGTCTGTAAAAGACTCACTTTTACAAGAGACCCCTGGCCCACCTTGGAGAGAGTCTGGTTTCGTTTTTCTCTCTGGTGCTATGAAAGACCGTAACTGGCACCAACAAGCTCCCTTCCTTATGCTGGACCACAGAGCCCTTGGGACTCCAATGAACAGTTACATTAACCCCAGTTAATCTAAAAGCTGAAAGAAATTTCAAGTCTTGATTTCAATTTTCAGAAAATACATAAAATATGAAACAACACTTCATTGCATAAACACTTTTTTTTCCCTTCTTTTTGGCAGAAGAGAGAAGCCATTCTCAGCCCCTGATAATTTCTCTTGGGCTGATCCTGCTACTGCTCATAATAGGATTTGCTCTGGCAATTCCGTTTTTCATAATTCCTTTGTATAAAGCAAGTGAGTTATTTGAATATTTCTTTTTCCAAAGGTAATTTCTGTTGTCGATATATTTCAGTGTGTAAATATCACATTTTCAGTAGAGTAGCTCCTGGCATTTTATCATGTTGTTGCATCTCCTCTGAAGTAGCATTGGCAGTTTAACAAGACATTGACAAGGCCAAATCTCTGAGCTGTGTTTTAGATGAAAGATCTGGGGTGGGGGAGGCAAAGCAACAGCTAACGTAATACTCAAAAACACTGGAAGGAATTTGACCTTACTGAAAAGAGAAATTATTTAAGTGCCCTTTGTTAAAGAATAATTTTGATTGTGAAAATAACATTATTTGAGGTCTCCAAATATTAAAAAATACATTGAAACTGTTTATTTCTAGGAAATATTTATATATATATATGGATATATATATATATGGATATATACACATACCTGTTTTTCTTTTATAATTTGCAGAAAAATTTAAGTCTACCAGGCCCTCAATTGGCCTTACTTCAACAGTGAATGCAGAGGAGTCTGAAAATGAAGTCATATACTCAGAGATTGGTAAGTTCCTGTCACCCCCCTGCAGTCAGGTTTTTTCAGGTACTGCAAAATCACTGCGACACCCACTGACCCTCCGGGCAGAGGCATTATTTGAAATCCCTCAGAATCAGTATCTGGAATCATTTGACAGCCATGCAGCCAAAACTGCAGCTGGTTAAATGAACTGGGGTTTTAATAAAAAAAGGGTGTAATGGCCATTTACTAACAGACAATAGTGAGCTATATAAAGCTGTAGCAAAATGAAACTTGCATAGCTTCTGCATTCTGTTCAAAATTGCTCAGTATTTTAGTTCTTTATTCAATCCTTCTTAAGTGTGGCAAGATTCAAAGTCAGTTCAAACTGAAATTATGAGGTGATGACAAAGCAACTGACCTGTGTTCTTTTAGTACTTGACTTGCAGAAAACATGCAATAATGAAGACATTACCTGACAGCCACAATGCTCTGAATTTGCATGTTTCTACATTTGCCTTGAATGTGAATGCCTCTTTCCAAGGGAATAAGAACCTCCCCAAACAAACCAATAGCAAAGGCAAATGCAAAGGCATTAATGTTTCCCATTTCTAAATATCCAAATAGAGTAAATGCAAATAAACCTGCCTTCCTGTTCATGCAGTAGGTAAGAGTTCTCCCTGCCCTGCTGGTTCAGCTCAGTGCTGTGCAGCTGCTCATGCCTGGTCTCAGCCTGCAAGGACAATGATAAGAGGTCTGATATGGCCCATGGATGCTCCATGATTTATATTCAGTATGGAATCTCACTGCTTTGTTCCAAGATTACAGAAATAAAAAAAGTCTGATTCAAGTTGTTTTTAATTGAGTTAACTGCTGTTTATCATCTTTAATCCAGAGCCTGTTAAACCAGAAGAAGAATACATCAATTTCTGTGTTATTAGAAGAGAAGAGGAAAAAGGTGAAAACCTCTAGCTATAATATTGGAATATCTGATGCACACAAATATGTTTTGAGGGGGCTTTGCTGGGTGGAGGCAGGGCTTAAATACTTGCAATTGCTTATGAAATTGCTTAGTTACTATGGAAAAACTAAAATAGCTTTAAAACTTATGAGGAGGGGGGAAAAGAAGAAAGAAAAACCCCAACAAATCATTCTATAGCAAATTCAACAGCCTCATTATGAAACCACACAGAAGATGTTATTAGTAACCACATTGCTGATGTAATGTTAATTCCTCTTCTGTGTTTCTGTACCAAAAAGCAATTATGAATTATGTTATTCTGGCTTTTAGCAGGGAAGAGGGCATGTTCTACAGTCTATTCAAAGGTCCTCATCAGAGACTGAGTACCAGGTATAATTTTTTTCTGATTAACTTAATCACATATTTTTAGAGAATTTTTCAGCCCTCAAACATGCTAAGTTTCAGCAGCTGCACACAGTAAGATGATATTTAGATACCAATTTCCTGGCCTAAATGGTTTGTAGACAGGCAGTGTAGCTCATTTTCTAAGCAAAATCTCTAAGCCATAATATCTAAGGACTTCAACTTATGAGAAAAAGCAAACAGATAAAACTTACAATTACATGTAAAGCTTTCACCCAGATTTAAGTTCCTGAACATTTAACAATTCTGATAAAGTAGAAACTGGATTGTTTGCAGACATAAAATAACCAAAATGCTTTTGTCCAGCATAACGAAAAAAGAAAAATTATCCCTCTTAGGCACTAGAGGACCTGTATTTGGCCTCTATGTACCTGCAAGGATAGCAATTTCTCAGTTAAACAGTACTTTTGCTCTCAGAGTAGAGAAATATTGCTAAAATTAATTTGGGACAGCTGACTTCAAAATAAATTCTGTATCCTGCTACAGGCAGGAAACGAAGATGTTTCTGGGTTGTTTTAATACCACTCCATAGCCAGATTAGAATTCCATGAGTTTAATAAGTCACATTATGCTAACCTTGATTACATCTAGCATAAATACTCCATACTGCAATTATTATTGTTACAAATAACTCATTGATAGTTAAGTGAGCACCATGTTAGTAGAATATTTTAAGACAAGTCCTTGTTTTTCATGACACTAATGACTATCAGAGGCCACAGACCCTGCTGCACAAACCTCAAGCCCTTTATACAGGGACTGAAAAAGCTATACAAGCACTGGAAATCTAGACAAGATCAGAAACACGCAGTTCTGTATCTCTGCAAACTCTTGTATCTGATTATAATCACTGTGCTTAGGTACAGGAAAAATATGATCACACATTAGTTATTTCCACCATTTTATACACACAGATATTTTGTCCACAAAAAATGTTCTTTAAAAAACATTTACAATTTATTTAAATCTGTTTCTCTGTTACTCCTTGTAATATATTTCTGGTTTTTTATGTTTATCAAGTGCAAGATGAAGTAGCTCACATGTTTAAGAACTGAAGCCATGTGACTAAAATACATTCCTACAAACAGTACAAAGATACTGATGCTATTAAAATATTTAAGATTTTGAAGTCTTTTATAAAATATATAATTTTCCAGCAGAGGTCACAATTGTGTCAGCAATACAGAGAAAAGCTGAATTTTTAGCTTAGGATGGAGCACTTTCAGTATGATATTAAAAGCAATGGTTAGCCTTGCTAATAAGGGACAAATTTTTCTCTTCCCTTTTTCCAAGGTAACCTGGAAGACCCAGATTTGACTGAAAACACATGCACCACCAAGTTGTTGCAGTGAAACCACTAAGTCCATGACAACGCTGAAACCAGTTCAGGCAAAGATGTCTAAGAAAATCCTTTTATTCAACAAGTTTAAGTTTACATATTTTTGGCTGATGTAACATACTTAGTTAAAAAGTCCTTCAGCCTGGAAATGTGCATCATTTCCTTCATGGTGGTGTCTCTGCTTCTCAGCTGGACTACTCCATTCTCTAGAGTGCTATCACTTATCAAGACCATGAAGAGAATACTCATCTCATCATACCTGCAGAGAGAAGAACCCATCTGTTACTGCTTTTTGTGCATGGAAAAAATCAGATAACTTACATACAAATGACCATAAACATTTAGTTTTACTGTATTACTAAGTCCAGTGTGACACCTCCAGGTTTCTTGTTGCCATTCTTTGCTTTTCTGATTACATTTCTTTAAATTACTTAGCTACTTTAGTATATAAGAATAATCTTATTTAGTAACCTATTAAAAGAGTATTTTTGTACAAGCAGAATTTATCTTTCTGACTTTGTTTTACTGCACATGAACAAATAGTTGCATTTCTTTTGTCTCAGAAAAAAATCCCTCATCGAGATGCTTTGACATGCGAAGTCATATGCCCCACATTCAATCCTGGTCAACAAACTATACATGAAGCCCCCAAAATTGAACAGTTGTTTTATATCCACAAACAATTCCATTACATCACTAATGTCAGTGGTTCCAGGCTTGGAAGAACTATCAAGTTCAAGACTAGACACAGTGGGTTGTTTGAAATAGTACATAAGAAAGAAACACAGAACCAGACCAAACACAAAAATGGGGATGAGGATAGGAAACAGTTCTGCAAGCTTATAGTTCATCTGAAGAAATTTGTTTTTTAAATAACAGCTTTTAAAAATCATCTGATATGCGCTTTTCATAATAAAACTACTTCAATCCAACTCTGTAGTTCAGGGTCCCCTTCAGTCAGTTACCACATTCAATTACTTCCTACTGAAAAAAGGCATATTTGCAGTGATGCCTTAAGTTTTAGCTTTCATATTTTCCTGATTCTGTACTACATTGGTATGTAACTCTGAACTTCATACAGAGGGTGAGCAAGTTCTCCTCACAGCTCAGTCAGACAAAACAATTCTTTTCCAGCCCAAGAACCAAGGACACTGTTGCAGCTTCAGGCCCAAAAAGTTAAACCAACAAATTGAGGGAAGTAATCTGGGATGATGTGACTTCATTAACTGAAGCTGTAATTTGACAATTAACCCAAATATGGAAATGGACCAAAACTTACAAAAGTATGAAAACTTGTGACCCGGTGTCCATCTTGGGTGGAGCCACGGCTTGCACAGCCCAAGCTAAATCCTTTGAAGGCCTTTTAAAATAAATACCTACTTTAACACTGTCTAGCCTCTGTTCTAGGTAGCCCCTCTAGGCATCAACAGCAGCCCACAGAAAGTCATCTTTGACCACAGTTTAATTTCCAAAAGACTGTTTCTCCTTACTTTGCATAAAGATTTTCCAGAGACATATGCCCAGTTTCCAGATAACCCGGCCATACAGAAATTCCATTTTCTGTCAGTTCATTGAACAATCCTTGACAAACCTACATTCATTTAAAAACAAAAGTTAGAAGACAGATTTTGAGAGTTTGAGACTCTATACAAAGAAATCATTAAAACTCCTAACAAGTGTGGTATTAACATTCCTAGCTGCTGTTAATTTGGCTGAAATAATCTCAAATCAGAAAATAGCCTGGCAGTTCTGTCTCCACTTCTGTTTAAAAACATGCCAGTGTAAGTTTCCCCCCTTCCATGGGAACTTCATGACTGACTTAGATGAAAACTTTTTAAAAATCCTCCTGAACATGTGACTCATGCATTAAGATAATTCTGAAAGATTAAGAAGCTGAGAGGGATGGTGTTATTTATTTTCCTTAATTTTGCAAGGGACAAGCATCAGCTCTATTGTACCAAAAGCAGTTGTGTCCACACAAGGAACTGCCTGCAATGAATTCCTTTGGCTGTGACCCATAAGCTGCAGAGTAGGAGACCATGAACTCTGCACAACCAGGAATCTCCAGACAAAGCAGCAGCATGATTTTCCTCAATATAAACAATGTCGGAATTGTAACAGATTACATGGAGAGACAATGCTCAAAATTAAAATATTCTCTTACAACGTACCTGCCTCAGCTCTGTTGTTGGACCTTTTCCTACATCCAAGGCCACTTTAAGGGGTGCTAAGCAAGGATGAAGCTTAAGTACCTAACAAATTTACAAAAGCCAACAGATTACTAAATGTGTTTATCATACAATTCTAAACAGAACTAGGAAATAGCAATTTTTTAAAAATTAAATTAAGGTTCTTAACATACAAAAATTTTCTCACAGCACAAAATCCTGAATTAGAAGCTTATGAAGCTTTATATGAGCACACAGCCTATGCATACATTCACATGGCAGAAATTACTCTATTTTGGCTGAGCTCCAGAAAAGAGATGAAGATTTGTTAGCAGAGCTCCATCACCTTGAATGGAGCCAGAGTAATGAGACACAGCTCAGCAGGCAGTTCTCATCCAGTCTGCTGCCTGTTCTTAAAGCCAAAACAGCTGCCTGGGTAACAGGCAGTGACAACCAGCACTCAAACTCCAGAAAACAGGGTAAAAGTGGAGAAAATTATGGTCTTTGAGGACCCATTACACCTGTGACCCACTTTTTCTATTCTTCTCAGCCACTTTCAAATGCTGCTGGAAAAGACAAATTACCCCTTCCCACAAACTGCAGCTACGTTCCAATTTCTCTTAACTCAATCACTTGCATGGCAAGAGCCTACCTACTGATCACAGAGAAGGGTAAAACAGGAAAGGGGACCTCCAAATGAGAAAAATTGCTTATGTGGGTGACAGAAACCACAGAGGCTGTGCCATGAGGCCAGCCTCTGCTACCTGTGAGAGGGTTCAGTCTGCACCAGTTGGGAAGGGATCAGAATGGCCACATGGAAAGGAAGACATTACCATTCTTGAATTTACAGCATTGTCAGGGGGGTTGTACTTATTTTCTCAAATTTTCTACATGAAGGTACCTTTCTCTGTGAATTTTGCTTTGCTGTTAATGGATTCTCAACCAGCTGCAGAGAATCAAAGAGATATGCTAACACTCCTCGGTCCAGATTCCCATTCACAGACAGAACATGAGGGATGACATTCTTCCTTCCATCTCGGCCCTGAAGAGAAAAAACCCATGTTGGAAAACATCAAAGATCGTCCCCAAAAGCTTTTTACTTGATTTAAATGTATAATGAAACACTGAGTTCAAGCACCCTTATTACAATAAAGGTACAGACATTTATTTAAAACAGTTCCAGCAATCTTAGTGGTGTATCTGCACCCAGGTAAGACTATAACAGTGGGGAAAGCAGGTCAGGGCAAGATGGGATTAGTTTCTTGCTCTGCCACTTTGATCATAAATTTAAATCTATGTCAAATACACTTGAAACTCTGCATTTTCTTTTGGAGGTTTGTAGATTACTTCCAACTGACTGTAAGTCCACACATTCAGAGAAATCCCTGGTAACCCAATTTTGTGGAAATAAATGGCAAAAGCAGGAACGGCAGGGCTGTCAGGAGAAGGTTACAATTTAATGGTAAAATACAAAATTACTCTGGTTTTATCTGTTCAGCCTAACTCCAAACATTGCCATTTATTAGAGGTTTGTCCCTCTTCAATATAATCAGTGGCGAGGTTTCCCTCTGGTCCACCTCCCTTTTTCTATAAAGCCATTTTTATAAGCCATTGATCCACAAAAACTTCTACAACAAGCTACAGCAAGGAAAAAATCCTCACATTTCCACCCTCTTTTTGATGCAAACTGAACAATGCAAAATACAATCTGAGTTTGTGCTTACATCTACTCACAGATACAGGTAAAGAGCTATGTCATTGACAACAGCTGTCTTGTCAACAGGGATTATTTCTAATTTTGAAGAAGTCCTTGCAAAAAAAGTACCAAACTCTCTTTTATCAGCTTTTGAAAATGGAGATCTGACTGCAGAGTATCAACTGTACTACTTTTGCAGCAAATGAATAAAAAGCCAGCCACATGCTTAGCAACTGGATCAGCAAAGAAACCATTTCTCTCGCACATTACCATCTCTATCAGGAAAGATGTTTAATACAGTAAAGCTTACCAGCAATTTTAATTTCTCTCCTGGATACAGCTGTAACAATTCAGTATCACCAAGGTTCTTCAATGTTTCTATTGTTTCTGTTCCCCAAGGGAAGCTGTACTGTAACTTAAATCCTCTTCTGCCTTCTTCATCCTGAAAGTCACTGCTGCTGAAGTTAGACGGGCCTACAGCAAACTGAAAATAAGAGGTGTAAGAGGTGATCACTACTACGAATCCCATAGTAACTACAAAAAATAAGTCTGCAATGCAAACTGAAGTCTGTCATTTTCAGCAAAAGGTTTTTATAAGTTACAGCTCAAATCTCTTGGTTGTTTTATGGCATTTTCATCTCACATCACTGACAAACACAAAACATTTGCCTTTCTGCAAGTCACGTTATAAACTACTTATCAGGTTTGTCATCAACTTCAGTAGCTTCTCAATTTCCACGAGAAATACACCTATTTGAGTGCCTACAACAGGCCAGCAATGTAAGGCCATAAAACCAACCAGGGTGACTATTCCCCCCATGAGATATAAAGGATCAGGCCAAGATTCCCCATGGATATGCTGTTACCTTTCTCCACCACTGGAGCCTCTGGCGTAGCCAGTAATCGAGCCACTGTCCTGCAGTTCTGGGAGAACTAAACCATGCAAGCAAAGACGTGGTCCTCTCGCCTATTCTTTAAACAACAGCAAGGGCAGCAAGTTAACACCTTGGGAAATAACAGGGGAAAAGCAAGAAACAGCATTCAAAAATAATCCAAAAGTGAAACAGTTGGTTTAGTTATAAGGTATTAACTCCTCTATTACTCTACCTTGTAAGGTTTTTGTTGTGTTGTTCATTTTCTGGAACAGAATGTTCACTTTTTGGAACAGAATGAAAGCACACTCCAATTTGAGCAAGACCACAGGGCAGTCTTCTGTTGACCAGCTCTAAGCAGCTGACATATTGCGCCAGAGCACCTACAAAGACAAGGCCCTGATTTTAGCGGCCACAGGAAAGTTTTTGATATTTTAACTCTACCAACAACAAATGAAGCATATATTATACAAGTGTTGCTTGTACATGCAGTCCCACTAGCTTTATTAGCATTGGTGTTTTGCAAACATGGGGTAAGCAGGCTGGTTCCTCTGGGCACGTTGATTTCAATGGACTTTGCCCCAAATTACAGGGAGCACATCCACTGCCCACCTGTGCTGGTCAGGTCCCTGAAAAGCACACAAATTCACAGTCTACAGAAGGAACATTCCTGGCCCACTAACGCAGCTGGAAAAATCCCTTAAAATGCAGCTGCTTCGCACAGGGTGCAGACTGAGCGCAGCCACCCGGGACCTACCGGGCAGGAGGCTCTCCCGCAGCACCCCCGTGGCCCCCAGCACTTCTTCCAGGGCTGGGCCGCCAGGGTTCTGCCCACAGCCCTGGAGGGCTTCGCGCAGCGTCTCCGGATGTAGCAGCCGCAGCCCCTGCGCGTCCCCGGGAGCGCCGGGCGGGCCGTGGAGCGGGGCGTCCATGGGGAACAC